GTGGTGCTGCCTCCTGACTTGCAAGCACAAGGTCCCAAGTTTGAACCCTGGTACCAAAACAAAAAAAATTAACCATTCAGCATGTGCAAAGAACTACATCCAATATTAAAATGTACAGATGAAGAAGGTGGGTGTGGCCTCTGCTGTCATAAAGCAAAAATGTAATAAATCCACTTTTTCCCAAACTGATTATTATTTTGGAAAGTTTGCCATGTTTACTCTCCCATTCCAAAAACATGTTTCTTTTCCTATCTATTTAATATTATTCTTGCTTCATTATTTTGTGATATGTCTTATCTTTCATCTTTTCCAGATTTACTAAATGTATACTTCTACAAAATATTCACCCAATATATTTATATTATCTTTACAACTTACTTGCATTTGTAATCAATTGATAGTAGCTTATGACTACCTACGGGTGACCCGATTTTAGAGATTTTTTTAAACATGCTGAATTTTTAATTTTGAGACTTTAATGTTGAGTTGCCTTCCTATGTCAGTAGAGGGTATATTCAGGAAGAATTATTTTTAAACAATAAGATATTGATCATTTAAAAACACATTGAGATGTTAACAATATAAGTGGAACAGAGGAGAAATTACAGATCAGCCTAAATCTTAATCCTTAATCAAAACCTATTTCCTTATTTCTGAGTTGTTGTGGAATTTCTTTTCTATGTAACCCAGAGTTTCTATGGGAAGGTTATTTGCTGGACTATGGGAGTCCCTTCCCCGACTCACACACCAAGCATCTTGGTTCTCAGACAGGAGGGAACCCATGTGCTTCCAGGCTTCCTCTGTTTTGAAGAAGGCCTTCAACTTCCCTGAGGCTCATTTCTCTAATTTTCAGTTTTTGTGTCCTTGCCACCCTCCCCCTATATCACACCTTGTGTTATAGACCTTTATTCTCACTTTTTAAGAGTGATTTCCCTTTTCTTTGTCCTGAATTTTTTGGCCTAGTGCCCAACCACAGGGAGAGCCTCCTGCACCTGAGATGGGTGTGCATGACCATGATCCCTCCCTCAGCCCCCAGGGTCTCTTTGACCTTCTCAGTACAGCCTGGGAGCTGAGGCTAGCCCATGTTGTCCTGGAGCTGAGGCTAGCCCGTGCCAGCCTGATGTTGCTCTGCAAGCTGTGCTCACATCCTTCTGCCTTCACTTCTAGTCAGCTGGTCCCTAGGTAGCTCCTTTTCATATAATACCTGCTGCCCAGCAATATAGGAGATAAGGATGGGCTTGTATGAGTTCACAGTTCTGCAGGTGCAACTCCAAGGGCTCTGCAAGTTTGGGCCTCTGGGGAGGGTGGCTCATCACAGCAGGGACATCACAGAGCACACAGTTTACATGCAGCCAGGAAGGAGGGAGGGAAAGGAATCCAGGTCCTGTAAACAACAGCCTCAGTGAGTCAAGGACCTCCCACTGGGCCCCATCTGAGACCAGGCCTTTAACACCAGCCCTTTTGGGGGACACTCATCTAAACCACAGGGCCAAGTTTGTGAAAACCACAGTCCTAGCTCACACCCTTTAGAGAAGGTTTGGCTTCCTGATTCTGAGCGATACAAACCCAGCACTCAGAGGTACGGAGGAAACAGAGGGAGAGGCTCTTCCCAGCCTAGGATTTCCTTCCCACGAGCACACGCTGTGACTGCAAAACTGTACACAGCAGCAGAACAACCCTCCACACAAAGTGCCACCTCTTTGTAATGCACAGTATCTCCAAAGTCCTCATGGATGCCAACGCTTTGTCTTTGTAAGGTGACTTGTTTTTCTTAAAAATTAATGAATTTTTTTTGACACCAAGTCTAGTCATGGGTGCGCTCAATGGAATCAGGAAGCACTGCAAGAGATGAGAACACTGTGAAGAGTAGAGGGCAAGTCAGGCGAAGGGCCCTGGGGTTTGGAGCTCAGCGACAGGACTGGAAGCCACAGGCAAGGTGGACTCCCACACTCACTACTGGAGGCGGGGCACTCCCTGATGTGCATTCGCTTATGCAGATCTCATTATGTCATCATCGCCAGTCTCTGTGGAGTCTTGTTATCATTTCAAGATTGGAGGAATATTTCTCCTATTTCATCACCATAGAAACTCTAAAATGACACCAGTGTTTTAAGTTCACATTATACAAGTGGAGAGACCCAACATTTGAGTTCTCTGTAAAGTGAGCAGCCCAGAGGGGAGCCCTGGCCCCACTGAGCCCCCTCATCGTGAGTGGGGATCTCTCCAGGCCAGGCTCCTCAGGAACTTGGCAGAGTTGGGCCACATGCACCTGTCCTCTTTATTGCCATTACTTTTGTCCCCCATACAACGTGCCTTATGCTACATCAAACTAGGAAAGTAAAACTAAAAGAGTATATAGCACTTCCTGTGTTTAAATGGAGGAATTCTAGTGATCAGAGAAAGACACCCTGTAGGCGCCATGGGCAGAAGTTACAGCCTTCTCCAGGTTAATGTCCTGGCCTCTCCAGGGGAATGTCTTGCCTCACTCCAACTCCAGGCTGGCAGCAGCTTTCCCTCTGTTTGTGACCAAGCACTTCCAGCTTGAGTGATTAGGTGGTTGCATGGGCCAAACGATTGCTGTCAGTGCCACCCTGAGCCACCCAGTGCACCCAGCCAAGTGGTGTTTCTTGGTGCTCTGATCCAGAACCACTTCTAAGGAGTTTATTGCCAAAAAGAGAAGCTGTATCTCCAAGCTCTGTTGCCATTTCTAGCTTTTTGTATACCAAATTAGAGCAGAAAAGCTGAGGCTGGGGATTTAGCTCAGTGGTTCCACCACCTGCCTCACAAGCACAAGGACCTGAGTTTGATCCCTGGTACCCCCTCCCAAAAAAAAGACACCAAATTAAAGCAGAAAAATTGAGAATAACGTGATCATTTTTGGCCTGTATGGAGCTCATTTGTACAAAAGATCACCATGAAAACCAAGCATGGGGTGAGTGCTTTCAACAAACAGAAACAGAAATGGGGCTGTCTCTGAGTCATGTGAAGCACATGAAGAAAAACCTTGTCCCAAAGTCTGTCCCTTCTCCTTCGTGGAGTACACACAGAGGCAGGGTGTAATACAGTGCAAGTGCAGGCTATCATGTGACTTGAGGTGACTCTGCTGGGTACAGGCCACTTCCCTGGTCCCAGAAAGGAGCATCCTGCTCCTGAAACTTTTTCCAGTCAGTCACTGTCAGCACTCAGTCATCCCCTGAGCCTTGCAAACTGGCAACCTCCATCCAGGGTAGACTTGGAGATTAGTCAGGACATCCCTGAAAATAAAAAGTGTTCCACAGGAAGCAAGATCTGGGCACAGATCTTGAAATACTTTTAAGAACCAAGTGAATAAAAATGGTGACAACTGCAGATATTCAGAGATGACCAATTCTGTCACGAGAATGCATCCCAACTCTTGGGGCAGTGAAGCTGATAGCAAATCAGGACTTTTGGAAGTGTGGCAGAAAGGACATGATGCCTTTCAGAGCCATGCCCAGGGCCCAGTGTGTACGGGCTGGGGACAGATGGCATCCAAGATATGGCTATGTTCCAGAAAGCTCCTGACTGGTAAGGTTAGATCATGAGTTGGGCGACTCCTGAATGCCCTGTTCTCTATGTATACATTTTGGGTCTTCCTTATCTCTTGCATTCTGAGCAAGCTTCCCAGGCTGCAGTAGAACATGTTAGGGGATCCCCACGCCCACCAGCCCCAAGTCATGCAACCCCCTGAGTCAGAGCCTTCAGCTCAGAGCTGGTGTGTTCATCCTGCTTGCATATTTACCCTGATTTAGAGTAACTTGCCAAAAACCCTGATTAACAGGTAGACCTGGGAAAGGAGAGACTCAGCAACTTAGCTTCCTGGTTTGCTGAGGCTTAGTCCTAATTTGGACTAAGCAGGGTATTTAGTCCCCTCTGGTGCAAATAATTATTTGGTGCGAGGAGGCTCCATCCCAGCTTGCTAGGAATTGTCCAGTGAATATGCTGTAGTCTGTGGTGATAAAAATCCTGTAAGACCACAACACAGTCATTTTGAATAGCAGCTCTTATTACAGATAGACACAGGATAGGTCAGTGATGGAGAATCCATGGCCCATGTGTTGTTTTTCTTTTAAGACAAAAGATGTTAATGTATAAGTTGTTTTTTCTAAATTAAAACTTCAGGATTAAAGTTTAATTGCAGTGTTGGCACTTTGAGGTAAATAAGTAGGTTTGGAGTTGCAGTTTGGGCACTCATCTCTAAAAGGTTCACCTTTACTGGGATAGGGTTAGTGGGCTTATGGGACATTTTGGGAAGTCACCTGAAGATGTTCATTTTGAGCACTTATTTTCTTGACATTGTCTTCTTTGTCTTAAATATGAAATTGAGGATTTTTTTAAAGCCAGTATTTGGAAGGCTCTGGAGATTGGAATTAATCACCAGAGGCCAGAAGTCTTGAGAACTCGCAGAGGATGGCACAGAGCCCCAGGGGATTTTCATGTTTGGGCAGAAGGCATGTAGCACTGGGAGTTTCAGACCAAGGTCACTGGAAGTCCAGAGCATGAACCCATCTCCCTAATTATCTGTGATACCCCTGGGTATTTGTCTTTAAGGAAGAGGAGAGAAGAAAGAAGAGAGCCTGGAACAGCCAGGTCTGCAGAGTTGAGATCTGAGGACCCCTGCTTCTCCTGTGTCCCCCTCTGCCTGCCTACAGTGGAGAGTGCTGTGTGTGATGTGGTGTGTGGGTGTGGTGTGTGCCACAGGCCAGGTGTGTGACCTCCAGCCCAGGAGCAGCTCCATGCAGCCACCTGGCCCTGCAGGTGTGAGAAGCATTGGAGGACAGGTGACTCGGGACTCAGGCCCAACCCTAGCTCATGCTGGTAACTTCATTCCCTATTCTGTGCCCATGTGTATCCTCCATGACCCCCACTCAGAGCCTGGCAGCCATCTGTGTACTCTCACTGCAGGCTGCCCTGGGTCCAGGCTGGGCTGTGATGTCCCTCTCCCAGGCACCCTGCTCACTCTTGCCTTGCCATGTTTGCAGGGAGTACTACATCACCATGGTAAAGTGGGCCACCAGCACCAAGGTGGCTGTGACCTGGCTGAACCGGGCGCAAAACGTGTCCATCCTGACCCTCTGCGATGCCACCACGGGGGTCTGCACAAAGGTACGATGGGAAGGGACCAGACAGAGGCAGGAAGTGGCGAGGTGGCCACTTTGGGCCCCTTTGGGCATGAGCTTCAGAGCCCCTTTAGAGCCCTTTTGGGCATGAGCTGCCTCTTAGCAGCTGCTGCCAAGGGTCCAGGCCTCTGGTTTTGGTGCCACCTGGTGGGTAAATCTGGTACCACTGTGAAAACCCCAGAGGAGCCCCTAGGCCTAGAGCCCCTATCTGTGCACCTTCACCTGCACCCTCAAAGTGCTAGAGGTTTTTCCATGGACCCGCGGCTGCACAGTCCCTGAGCACTCTTATTCCCTGGGTGGTGTTCAAGGAGGGATGGTAATTGGCTCAGGTGGGAGACTAGGCTTCCAGGACAACTTCTGTTCTTACCTTCATCCATCCACGGGAAGCCAGGTAACTTCTTCCCATTGGGCAGATCCTGGGGAGACCAGGGATGTGTGTATAGTGATGATGTGTAGTTAGGAGGCAAATGTGGGAAAGAAAGTGAAAGACAAAAAGCAGGATTGAAGAGGAATGAAAGAAAGGCTGGAAGCTCTGCATGGTGACAAATGCTTGTGATCCCAGCCCTCTGGGAGGCTGAGGCAGGAGGTTTGCAAGTTGGAGCCCAGATCCTGGGCACCTTAGCCTGCCTGGTCCCTGAAGGCCTGAGAAGCAGGCCAGCTGGTGTGGAGTTTGAAAGATTGACCCACAGCCTCAGGTGGGTCTTTGAAGGGGACAGGCTCAGTAAGCAAGTTCTCTAAAGAGCTATGAAAAGCAGCTCTCCCTGTGCTGCCTAGAGATGGCAGAAAGTCACAGTGGTTTGTGCCTAGTAGTAATGTTGCTGAGCTGACCAGGGATTTTCTTCCCTTTTAAGTCACTTGGAGCAGATTCAGGTTATTCTGCTGGGTGTCAGAAGACACAGAGGAGCAGGCAGCGTACAGACAGGAGGCCCAGGGGTGGTGTGGCAAGTGATCCCTGGGCACTTGTCCTCCATGCCCAACCTGTACATGGAGCCTGGGGCACAACCCTGCTGGAGGCCAGTTCAGATGTCACCATGGGAGGCCCAGGACCTTGGGACACACTGTATATGCCCAGCAGCTGTGTTCTCTGCTTGGGTTTTATTTTTGTTTTGTTTGTGTGCCTTTCCAGGATCTTCTGGGAGATCCACTATCATACAGCTTTTAAAGTCTAGTAGAGAGCTGTGGTTTACAACACCCCAGGACTCCCACAGTGTGATCTGCCTCTGAGGGACCTGGGCCACCAGTGGGAACCCCCAAGCGGGCACGTGATGGCCCATAGAGACCCCAGGGGGTAGAAATGCCACCATCTTCTGCAGGCTTCCTTCCTGCAGTGGACTGTCCTTGTTGTTGGGGACAGTAGCATTCTTCATGTTCAAGGACACTAATGTTGGGCTCTGAGCCACATCAGGAACAAAGACCAGAGCAGGATTACCTGCTCCCTGTGCCAGCCACCCTGTGCTTGTGCGGCCACCGTGCTGGTGAAGTCAAATTGCCTTCTGTGCCACTGGTCACAGACATCGCGCACGCAGAACCCTGAACTAATGCCCTTATTTCCTTTTGCAGAAACATGAGGATGAAAGTGAAGCCTGGCTCCACAGACAGGTAACTGTCCCCTCCTGGTCCTTACCATCACATCCAGCTGACCCCCTTGCCCTCCACTGGGTCCTTCCAGGGTTGTGACACTTCTCCAGTCACCTAGGAACAGTATCCTAGCAACAGATAAGGATGTGGGGCTCCTGTTCCATCTTCACCTTCCCTGGAAGCCCCGGGCTCCTGCAAAAACTGTGTCCCCTGGAAGGCAGTGGGAAGATCACAGCTCAGCGCCGCACACAGAGAGCTCGGAGAGACCTCTGTTCCCAGCTGGTTGATGCCCTTGGGGGAATTCAAAATGATGGGTTTCCCAGATCTAGTCTGTGATGGTAAAAGAAAGTGAAGATGTGGTTGATACTCCTATTTGTTTTAAACTGAAGTAGATGCCTGTGTGACTCAGCCAGACCCTTCCTGAAAACTGCCCCCAGAGTTCTTATCCCTTACTCAGACACAGAAAGGCACATTAGAACAGGGCCTATGAGCTTGAGACTGAAAGGAACAGGGGGTGTGGTGGTGTGGCCCAATGGTGAGCACTTGTCCAGCCTGTATGAGGTCCTGGGTTCCATCCACAGCATCACGAAAACAAAACAACAAAGTGATGGTGAAAAGCATATGCAGACCAACCTGTGATGATTTATTTTGGTTTAAACTTGCAGAAAGAAAAGCCTCAGGCCTGGTATTTCTTTTCTTCGGTTCTTTCTGTCTCATTCACACTCTTGCATCAGAAAGAATAGGGTAGAGTTTGGGAAGCTTATTTTCTTTTTGTCCCACTGGACATTGCCTTAAAATTCTATGGGAAGGCTGGGCATGGTGGCACACACCTGTAATCCCAGCACTCGGGAGGCTGAGGCAGGAGAATCACTGTGAGTTCGAGACCAGCCTGGGCTACATAGTGAGTTCCAGGTCAGTCTCAACTACATAGTGAGACCCTGTC